GCGCACAAGCGACTATCTACAGGGATCCAGTCAAGGAGAGATTGTTCTGCCCTACGACTCAATGCTATACCTACACCGGCGAGGCCCCTAGAAGCAGCATCAGTGCTACCGGATACACGAAGTGTAAATCGAGCTGCTTCTTAATCTTGACATGGTGAGGTCAAATGAGTGATGCTACTCGGATCCTGTATGCGCGTTTCCGAGACGCAGCACACATCGATGGAACGAGATTCTAAAGTCCCAGCTAATGACGCCTGTTGCCCTATTTGACACAATGTCCGTACATTGAATGCTCCAACATGTAGTTTGGAACGGGGTTTAAGGAGACCAGGAACGACGTTTCGCAAACTCGCATCGTTTGCATTAGCTGTGAACTGTAATAAATGAATGTGAGAAGAGTTAGTTGTGGAGATAAGAGAGACATTAGGGAATGTAGGAAGGATTTGATTTTGAACAATTTTGTCTCGTGTGCTGTTGCGGGTATGAGGGCGGTTATCACTTCCCGGCTGCCCACACCGTGGAAGGTTGTTTCTTGAGGGACCTGAAAAGGAAGATGGATTACTGTTGGTGCGTGACCGCAGAGCCCAAGAACAGGTGCTTGAGGACGGTCACGCACAGCCTTTCTATGAAAGGTATTTCGAGGATTAGCTCCGTTCTTAAAGGCCCTTAGTGGGCACCCTTACCCAAGGAGACGGAAATCCGTGAGGTAGGGTGAGGTGTGACATTTTTAGGGCCGACCTTTTCTAACCCTTCCTTCCTTGTGAGAAGGCAGCATCGCTGCAGATGCTGGTTGTCCGAGGGAAACACCTTACTGCTGTCACACCCCTCTGCAGTCAGCAGTACGACTTCGCCCTCAGACCTTGGGTAGCTGCTTTTAGTCTCATCGTTCTCCAATCGACCTGCCTGGCATGGTAGGACCTGCAGGAACATGTGTTCCAGCCAGTATAGCTCGGTTGGGTCATCACGATAGGCAAGCCCGACCACCACGTCAAGGTAGCAGCTTCGGTCGGGTCACCATCGACCGACAACCTTGCCAACCGGAACTCCTGCAGCGCTTCCTCTCTGTCGCTGAGGTGGATGAGAGAACGAAACACCACCACATTCCTCCCTGTCTACTGGGCTGTCGAACTCCGTCATTAACCGCTCGTGACCGTCTCCCATGTCGTCTTCCCGCCAGTACCGTCCAGACTGTCGTATACGGCCTTTGCCCTACCTGTCAGTAGCCTCCCCAGCACCACCAACTTCGCCTTCGGCTCCTTCACATCCGCCAGCTCCGCCACGGCCTCAAACTCCTTCAGGAAGCTCAGCACATCTCCATCCTCAAATTCCTTCGGCCATGGAATCTTCATCCTTAGTGTGGGCAGCGACACCAAATGTAGTGAAGGAGAACAGAGGTGAGGGTAACCGAATTGTAATTATCTCGAATTACAGAGTTAATTGGTGAAATAGAAAAACCATATCGTAAATCGTTAATATGCAAAATATCAACCCATCATATCGAACTGGACTGTTCCTGTTGCAAACATCCATTCATTGTCTGACATTTCACTGTTCATGCATTTCATACAAATCCCATCGTGTTCCCGCTCTTCCTTTCTTGATCTGCCAGATATTACGTCTTGACTCGCGTTATATACTACTTATAAGTAGCGCGCACCACACTGGTATAGAATGAGTTTAAACTACCCTAGATTGGATGTTTACTTTATTTGTCCTGTTTGAATACATGCTTCCTTCACACGCATTTGTTTGAAACTGTTACGCCATGTGAAGACATTTTAGATAGAAATGGCAGAAACTATAAACAAACAGCCACAGTGAAATGAAAAACACCTAATAAACAAATAGTATCAATCAAACAATATAAGATCAAACAGCTTCACAATAACTTTTAAAACTGAATGTTAATTTTATATAATAATGGCTAACAAGTAGGCGGTTGAGATGATTGCACGACTATAGCAATACAATTTTTCCTACCAACGAAATTGTTGTGATAAGTGACGAGAACTTCAGACTTTAACCAAAGAATAACTAGTAGCTTACTACAGTTTGCCGTTGTAGGTGCAGCAATTTGGTGACCCCAAGCAGCAGGCATCCAACCATTTGTAGAATTGATAGAATGATCAGACCAGTTTCCCAGTGGTGTACCAATATTTTGTAGAGGAGGGCCAGGACCAACTCCGGTTTGACCATTATGTGGAGAATTTGTATTAGCATTAGCCCAACCTAAAGGAGGCCAAGCTTGAGGTTGACCATGAGAACCCCAGCTGCCAGGCCAGTGAGTCCAAGTTGGACCTACAATATACAACACGGTATTGCATAATGCAGTTAGTGTAGCTCATAAGAACTAATGCCTTTGATGAAAGATTTGTTTTGTAGTCAAAGGAAATATTGATCATTTTAAGCCCCAAAACAACTTACATGACTTTTCAGATGGTATCACAAGACACGGATATTTGAATGGACTTCGAATAATCACTTAATAAGCTTGTTATAATAACTAGTGAAGGAAAGTGAATGATACTAAAAAGATCGATAATTAATTGGTTCTAAAATTTAACATGTAAACATTTTTATTTCTTATACACTTGATAATTACAAGTTGTGGTGAAATAAGACACCCAAAAATTATGCGCGTCACAGACAAGCGAATAGTATTGTGAAGAAATAACGAATGGAACGGATGTACAAAAATAAAATCAAATAAATAAGTGAATAAGAATGGTATATGATAAAGGAAACGGTTTAACTAGAAATGTAACCAAAAAAACTTTCGGTTGATTTCACCTCATCTTTGTGAAGAATGAACAATACAAACTCATTAGGATCGAAACTGGTTTAACTTACAAGTACGCCTAATGTTGTCTCGAGTCAATGAGTTGCACCAGCCGGGAAGTCATGATGGACAGACACATGACAGCCATATACAGCTTCCTTTTATACCACAGAGCAATGTCACAAACCGATCACCTTTCAATGTTTGACGTAAAATTCCCTGGATAGAATTAGTATAATATACCTAAGCCACCGAAGATGATGTTTACAAATGGGGACTCGTTGATTGTAACTGCGCCCGAATAGGTACTGTTGAAACTCAATATTGCTAACAAGATGTCATTGCATGTTACCAATCCTATGGAGACAATGATGACATCTGAATCACTTCAGCTAAAGAAGATCCATTACTTCATCGATTAATTTGCTATTCTTACCTAGTACTCGCTTCCTAACTCCAGCAGTGCTTCCTCCATAGTTCAAAGATATACGAGCATGTTTTCGAAGACACCTACGATTGAATACTGGTGATGTATGACTATCTTCAATTCTTAATGACCATGTTTCACAGCCATAAAGTAGAACGCAACAAACAGCTACATAGCAAAGTCATCTTTTTTTGCTCAACAGACGAATACCTCACCTACGTCACAAGTGACGAGTGATGAGATTCTCAAGATAAGTGAAGTGGTTAACACACTCAACTACTTCACTCCCTATCACTAGTTCAGGTACCAACGTAAGTCAATCTTGAAGCAGCAGTTTGCATTAAGAGGGAGGGAATCGCATCCCGAACATGTTTGCATTGTTGCTTAAGGTGGTCAGAAGAGTGCATTTTGTCAGTGTTATCACCCGCATATTCTAAGCCAACAAGTGAACCTCCTGACAGAAGATCAACTTCTGAAAAGTAAAACAATGAATGTTTCCAACTCTACAAGCATGTTTGTAACAAAATTAAGTAAAAATGGGGAAGGTGGACAGCCTTGACGAACACCCCCTGAAGTAATAAGTTCCGATGACAGTGAGCCATATTGTTTGACCCGATCAACAGAGTCAAACGCCACCCTGAGGTCAAGGAATAGAACTACTGTGAGACGTCGAAAAGTATTTCAGTGTCGGTGAACTCATCATCATCCCTATCGTTATCTTTCTCAAGTTATCTCGCCGAATTATACTTCTCGAATCATATCTTTGAACGCTAATCTTCTCTGTTACTGATAATACTTGTACTATCTCTTTCACTATGGTATTTGAACTTATAGTTGCGCCTCTGTGCTTACGCGGTATGGCAAGCTGAACTTATGTACTCATGTACGAAGCTCTACGTTGTGACTGAATGACCGACTACCAAAACGTGAACACTTGGTTTATACGTCCAGGTATGAAACCAGTCTGGTTTCCTCGAGTTTGCTCTTAACGAAATCTAATTAGGCGTTAAGTATTATTAAAGCTAATATTTTACACACTGTATTAGTTAAGCTGATTCCTCTGTGATTATCGCAATAGGAACTTTGTTGGGATGTATGGGCTTGTTAACAGCCATGATGTGGCGAAAGAATTAAACAGAGTGAAGTCGAATTAAAATAAATTAATCGACTACCCTGACCATTGATGCCGAGGGTTATACACGAAAAGTGAGTTTCATGGTCACTTTCTGAGTGTGGATACGAAAGAGTTTAGCGCAGCATATGATATACACCATCTATGAATAAAATTGCACTTTTTTGCTGTTATTCAAGAGAGATAACTCAACAACGAAGTACATAAGGATCCAGCTGTATCAGGAGTACTTACGAAATCGATATGGAATACATAGTTCCAACTTAGGAGCATAAAGTGAGTCATCACAGACCAGTTTTTACTTCAAAACAGGTAATTCGACAGATAGCTGGATAAGGACTTACAAGAACCATTGGACTGGGACGTGATATATTGTTTCTTTTGACCACCACGAACAGGACGTCCATTCCCCTGAACAGATGGTACTGCATTAGAAGAGACTTGGTAGTCAGGCTTCTGAGTATTTGGTGGTTTCATAGCTTTTATTTCGACCTAAAACATTGATAAGTTAAAAATTTTTAGCTTACCTGTTTACCGTTTAGGTTTAAGTAATGAAGTTTTATGAGATTTCTAACCACTTCTTCATCGTCAAACCCAACGAATGCAAAGCCTACAAGCCAGTTATTAGTAGTTTCCACAGATTACCTCTATGACGCGGTTTGGTCTGACCTGCTAGTAAGTTAACGTCGGTAACCTGAAAGAAATATTCTGAAAAAAAAGGCAAACCTTTCCATAGCTAGAAAAGAAGTTCCTGATTATGTTCTCATCGTGATCAAAGGCGATGCCTCCAACAAACACCTTGAGGCTACGACGATTCTAAGTATGAATTAAATTGTCAGACTTCAGACTACCTTTCCTTTCATGTTAACATTGCATCGTTTAGGATCAACTTCTTTGAGGTCAATTAAGTGGGTTTTCTGTCTCAAAACCCAATCCACGGACTCATCATTCTTGAACTTGACATAACCGAAGCCTCTCGATCGACCAGTCCTGTTATCCATCATGACTGTCGACTCTTCGATATCTCCGAATTTTGAGAAGTATAGTTTAAGGGAGTCTATGAAGGTATTAGAATATAGCAGGTAATACCATTAGTTGTAGACTGATGAAGTCCCCCCACAAACAGCTTCCTGGTGAATAAGAAATAAGACAGTAATTACAAGGATTACCCGACTTCATTGCCCTGAGGATCGATGGACATATCAGGCAATACCACAGCTCAGAGTGAACCAAATTAGCCACTTTTCTCTACAACGACCTTGATGGCCTGAAATAAGGTAGTGTATGCTATCTTGTTCAACATTTTAGAAGAAAAGCTTCAAAACTTTTTGATTTATGTGGGCCCGTCTTTCTAGTTTTATAGCATAATTCTATATCTCAAGTATCTATCGTTCAGATGCGTTAAATATTGTGTGATAGAAAGCTTAATATATCGCTACAACCATTTGAACTATTTGAATTAGTTGGTTAATATTGATTCAGTAGAAATAAGAACCTGCATTCTGAAACAGTCGAGTTTCCAGATCATCAGGCAGGAGGTAATAAGTTTAGTATGAGTGTGAGAAAGGAGATGGTAATCAGAATCTGCAACTGACTTGACTTCTTAGATCGTATGAAACAAAGGAAAACGGTAGTTATATGGGGTTCATCAAACAGTTTATAGATTTCATCAATTAGTCGGCCGCCAAAATTTCCAATACTTTTAGAAGAAACAGTAGCAGCTCTACAGCTATTTCATCGTCCAAGTTTCTATCCAAGTTTCCAATCCTACTTGTTGAAACAAGTTGCCTAACGGATTTCACAGAGCCCCAACGAAATTTTTTAGCAATGCAGGACACAGATCATTACGACCCGGTAACATACTGAATCTAAGTCTCACTAACTTTGTACTTACTAGCCAATATATTGCTTGTATGATTTCCCTCTCTATTATCATTTCTGAAGTGGTCTAAACCAGTTGGACTAGTACCAAATCTAGTCGCTTACGAGACTGCGTTAAAATATTTGGCAATTTCGAAGTTACTGAGAGCCTCGCTTTAAGTTCTGCTTAGGAAGTTGTCAGATCCTTACATATCCTTTAGGATGTCGATACATCGATCACCGACTTCCTTTGACCATGTCGACATTACTTACTTACTTACTTACGCCTGTTACCCCCAATGGAGCATAGGCCGCTCACCAGTTTTCTCCAACCAACCGTGTCGACATAAGTATTCATATTCATCTAAAAAATTTTATTGATAAATTCACTCTTCCTGAAGGTCATCAATAATTCACTAGTACTTCATTAATCATTCTGAAGCACGAATTCTTGAGGCTCAGAAAATGTCACAAATAGTTTGAGGAGGCTGTGAATGGAATCAAACCTCTGGTTGGTAAGCTTCCAAGCCCCTTTAGGAGCTCTGGCCCTCGACTAAAAAATGTCAATAAAGCTAAAGAGTATGCTCCACAATATATCTAAACTTCACTTCCGAACCTGGGAGACGTCTAGTTTACTCATACAAATAACTAGATGCACTACATCAGAATTTCTCGAATGTATAATTTTGGTCATAAGTTGTCACGATATGTAAGAGGGTATTAATCAGACGCTTGTAGTAGTATGGAGAAACTGTGTCACCTTGTAACTGTCAATGTGGCCAAATTTTGATATCTCATTGCTTTACAGCCCATTTTCAGGAAAACATTATTTAGTTGCTTCCCGAAATCCTTGTGAATGCTGTCTCAGGCTACTAGTTGAAGTTGTAATTCAATAATATAACGTTGAAAACTAAACCGCTGTTTAATAAATGCGTTACTCAGTGAGTTAACATAAAATGTGTTGGCTTTCTGGCATAAAGTTATTTTTGTGTTTTTAAGTCCTACTTTAGGTCCTGTATTTTTAAGTCATATACATAGCTGAGAAATGTTCTCGCTACTCAGACATTTTATTTCTAACTCATTTCAGAAATGAAACCGATGTGTGGCAGTCAAAGTATAATGTGATTGGTCACCAAGCGTCGTCCGACAGGCACCTAGCCCACTGACTTTCCTTCTCTGTGATTGGTTTCTACTCCAGACTTGCTGAGAGTAACCGCCCTTAAGTGTATGGAATAAAGCAGTATATACTGCCTACTTAAGCTAATTATTTTCATCGTTAATCGAGTATCTGGTGAAACGTAAAGTGTTCCGTGTAGTGTAAAGTTCAAGTATCTAGTATGGTTTCATCATCGTATTACGTATTCTTATAACAGAAACCCCAATCAGGCTGCCTTAGAAGCAATAAAAATCCAAGGCGGTTTTGAGATTGTCTAATAATTGGACAATATGTGAGGTAATTTTTTTATTAGCATCTACTCTTAACGGCCATCAGCTGTGATATTATGTTATGGAGGTTAATTGGTTTGACTCCTCCTTATTTCTTCAAATAGATATTCATATTCCTTTAAAAGTGGGGACGGGATGTAGATCAGTTCTCTAGTTCATCCACATAAAGCAATTAGAACTTTCGCGTTAGGGTTCTTTGCCCTTTAACCGTCTCATTTGCGATAGGAGCCTAGTCAACTGTAGATATCTTTCCGACATCAACGAGGATAAGTTTAAAGCAACCTATTTCCCTGTATTAAAAACTCACACTTGATACTTGGTTATTAATTTTTTTAACGCAATAGTGTCTTCATCCTCTCAAATTTTCCATTAGTTCAGTGTCGTCGAATATAAGAAATGGTGATATATGGTAGTCTTGACATCATATATTTGGTTGAGACTAATTTGAGATTCAGAATGGCTACTTCGGGATAGTCGGTCAGTATATAAATGGACTTCCGAATAAGTTAGTACCTATTTCTTGGGATATTCTGGACATCGTTGTATAGGCCATGGAGACCGTTTTGGTTGAAGTAAAATGGAGCCCTTGTAAGATATTTCTTATAGTAATCTTTAAACTAGTGAGTATTCAAAGGTTCTCATTCCTTAAAGAGAATAGGCTCTTAAGACTCTAACTTTGTTCGCCTATGTTTCCAGGCTCACTGTTTTTGACTTTATAATCTGAGAAAGTAAAGACACTACTAAGTATCTAATCATATTGCCTCATCATCACTTATTTTTCGCATCTCACTGGCACCTACGAAATATAACCAAGCTTTACATTTTCGCCTTAACTGCAAAGTATCTGTCTGCCAACGTTGGTATTACCACTTTTAGTGACCCTATAGATTTTGAGTGGTTGACAATGTAAGTTGAAAAAGTACCGGAATTTCTGATCACTTATGGCCTCTACTTGATATAAAGGGCTTGCACAGTCTGTTTGCTATTAAGTTTAATTCAAACCAGAGTTAAATGCAGTGGTGTAACAGATTACTTTACTCAATAATGAGTTGAATATAGACAGTAATGATCTACCTCAACATACTGGCCAGACTGTGTCGTCCGTCTGTACGGTAAACAGAATAGAAGTCCAAAGGATGGAATTATGTTCAATTGGGAACAGAAGAAAGAAAAAATCCTGTTGTAACATGTAAGGATCCTAATCCATCAACTAACTAACCCACAATGAGAACAGCGAAATTCAAGGAGACCCTTAGGGTCATCAGGATTAGTGACTACGTGGCGAATAGACCGATAGAACTCATTCAGCGTTAACAGGAACCTAACATCCTATGACGTTAGTCGATCATTCGCTCCTGCTTTAAGCAGATTAGCTTTTGGTGAATAGTCATCAGTGATTGAACTGTCAATTTTATTCATGGTTTTCTCTTATTGTCTAGATAGGTATATCTCATCCTTCGATATTATAGAAGACTAAATACCCAAATTATATTCAAGAAGTCAAGTAACGAAGTTGTATTAGTGTGTGTAAAATGCTAAGTTCAATGATGGTTTTCATTTTAATAAAATGTTTCAAACCACTCATCATTTTTCATTACGCCACATTTGGAATCGATAGTACAGAGGAAATAATACTCTGAAAATCCTTCCTTAGTCTTTTACTGATCATTATTGATATTTTTTTACTCAGACACCGTGTTTTGTATTCACTCAGGACAATAACAATAATAATTTATTCTCAAATAACATGTTACAGGAGGCATGCCAATTTACAGAAAAGATCAAAACGTTAAAGTTGCCAACATATATTTTCTGTAAAACGTTGTTCAGTTACTGAAATATTTCACATGATACATCAGCTTCATATAGATAGCTGAAATTTTTCACATAAAATTGTAGATAATTTTCCAGACTCTAAAATTTACAATGCGAATAATTGGCGCGAGTTACGATGGTTGCGTTATGACGAACTGATAATGACTGTGAAACAATGCAAGGTAAAGCCAGGTTTGTATATAACAAGAACTAAGGAGGTAAATTTGCTAAGATCTGCTTGATATGCTTCATATCATAAATTTGCAGGTTCGTGGGTAAAGTAAACAAGTCTTCTGCAAATACCCAGACTAATATTTAAGAATTGGAATAAGGTGCTGAAAAAGATAAATAAACAGAACGAGGCGAGGAGCAGAGCAGAAAATATTCATGTTTAAAGTCAAACAATGACTCAGAAGACCCTTTTTTAAATTAGAACACTAACTGTACACTTGCGCTTATGTAGGTCAATGAAGACAGTTCGCTTGTATGATAACGAACATGCAATTAATCGTATGAATAGAGGAAACTCAGAAGAACCAAACTGTCAGCAATAATGACGATGTACAGAATATAATAATGAGGCACAGTGATCTGACACTTTTGTGATATTTTACTTATTCTGTTTCATTTAAATTCCGTAGCTCAAGAAGTCTTTTTCTTTTCTTTTTCAGTATGATTGTCCAGATCTGCTTGTAATAGGATTTCATGGTAGGAAGTTAAAACCAGTGCAACGTTACCAACATGAGTGGTAGACGAGGTTAACGAGGACAGGTAACATCAAAATCACTGATTATTTACATCGCTTTGTATCGTAAGTAGCCGTAAGCAAACAAAATATTCTTCCCCACAGACATACAGCCATTGTAGAATTCTTTTTGAATGTTTTGTTTTTTGGAAAATCCCTCCATGTTTACATATTTTTGCTATGACATGACGGACTTTTTCTGTTGACATTTTTGGTATTTTATTTGATTCCATTTTGAGATTTTATCATTGTATATTGTTATTCTTTCTATATTTTGTACTTATATTGAAGTCTTTGTGTTTGCTTCTGAACTGTACATATGTTGTTTAAATTTGATATAATATGGCTACCGCCACATTTTTGGACGGACGCAGTGGCCGCTGGACTTAGCGTCACTTATTGTTATT